GAAACAGAGGCGGGGATTCTTTTTCGCCGTCACCACCATCGTCGTTGACACGGTCCCCTCCGCTCCCACGCAGTTCGACACCAACGGGGACGGGGAGATCACACTGGGGGAGCTGCAGCAGGCGATGCAGAGGCTTCTGGGAGAAAGGCTCACGTCCCGGGAGATCTCCGAGGTGGTCCAGGAGGCCGACATGAACGGGGACGGCACCGTGGACTTCGAAGGTGAAGTTATAAAGGGGCAGCCACGACTGGGAATCCACCTCCAACGTTCTCCCCTGATGGGGGCCTGTGGTTACACTTTGGGCTGCTAACCGCAAGGTCAGCGGTTTGAAACCACCAGACAGCTCCCTGGGAGGGAGACGAGGCTCTCGATTCCCCAGAAGAGTCACAGCCTGGTCACAGGGGCATATCTACCCCATCCTGTAGGGTCTCTAAGAGTCAAAACTGACTGGCTGGCAGTGAGTTTGTTTGATGTTTGAGTCTCTCTCCTCCGGAGAAAGACAGGCCTTTGCAATTCTGTAAGGAGCGACCGTCTGGGAACCCCCAGGGGCAGTTCCACCCTGTCCTATCGGGTCGCCAGGAGTCGGATAGACTCAAGGGCAGTGAGCTTGGTTTAAGCGTTTCTCCCTCTTACCTCCGCTTCTGGGAAGTGTCTGCTCCATCCCTTTGAAGTCGCTGTGTGGTGCAAATGGTCAGACCTGCCCACAGGGCCCCGGAAGAAAGTCCTGGTGTTCTGCTTCCTCCAGGACAGGGTAGAACTGCCCTTGTGAGTTTTCAAGGCTGTAACTCTTTCCCGGAGCTGAAAGCCACATTGTTCTTCTGTAGGGTAGTGAGTGGTTTTCAACCACTGGCTTTCTGGTTAGCCACCCAACTCGTACCCACTGCCCCACCAGGAGGAAGCCTTGAAACCCATGGGTCAGCTGGACTCCATCAGGGGGCGTTGCCATGAGTGGGGTTAAGCCCCGGGCTGCTAATTACAAGGTCGGCAGTTCAAACCCACCTCCTGTCAATCAAGGTTTTACAGACCCAGAAACCCAGAGGAGGAGCTCCCCCGCCCCCGCCCTATAAGGTCGCTACGAGTCCGAATCGACGCGATGGCCACGGATTCGGTTGGGCTGGATGGTTGGAATGCGTCTGTATTGACTTGACGGCACCAACCACAACCGCCCCTCGGAGCCCGCGCGCGCACGCGCGCGCGCGCACATGCGCGCGCTCCGTGCCCATTCGTACTCACACCCAGAACCCACTCTCGGCTCTCTCATCCCGGCCTCGTTCAGGGCACCCTGATGACAGGGACAAACTATTCCCTGGCAGGGAAGCAGGCACTCTGGGGGCAGAGCCACAGGGTCCAAATTCCTGATGCTTCTTACCAAGGATGTGGTCGTCTCACGGTCACTGACTTTCTCTGAGCCCCTGTGTCCACCGCTGAAAAATAGGGTGAGGACGATGCCTCTCTTCCAAAGTTTACAGAAACTAACCAATAAACTAAAACAAAACACCCACATGCATCAACACACACATAGACACACATGCCTATATCCACACACACATGAATACATATGCACACATACATATGCAACACACATATACACAAATACACACATACATATGCACAGGCACACACACATATATACATCTATACACACGTATACGTTCTTTAACATGCACACACATACATATGCATATACATAGAAACACACATACATATGCACACATATACATACGTACACATATACACACGTACACATACACACATCTACATACACATTTATTACACGTACATAGCCATATAGACACACATACACACACATATACACATCTACATACACACTTATAACACATACACACAGACATGTGCACACACACATACACACACACCAGTTGCCACCCAGCCAGCTGTGACCCATGGGTGTCAGAGAAGACAGCTCATAGGATTTCCGAGGGTGACCCCATGTCTCGCAGAACACGACTCCGCTCAGTCCTGCGCTCTTCCACCGTTGTGACGTAGAGCTCCTCACTGGCTTATTTGGGGAAGTAGATCGCCAGGCCTTTCTTCCAAGGAGCCTCCAGGTAGGCTCGGCCTTCACTGAACAGCTGGCTATAGGAACTGCTTGTTCCACCCAGGGCTGTGGGAGGTGGGGTAGGGCGGGTGGGTGAATATGCATCTCACCCGGGACTTTTCTTGGCAGAGTTTGTGAAGATGATGTCTCGTTGAGAAGGTTCTGGAAGCTCAGTCACTGTCTACCTGGTGCCAGCTCTTGTGGAGAAAGAACCAAGTCCCCTTCCAAAAAACCCAACCAGACCCCCTACCACTGGACCCATCCCGACTCACAGCGACTCTACAGGACAGGGCAGAACTGCCCCTGTGGGGTTCCGGGACTGTGACTCTTTACAGGAGTAGAAACCCTCCGGGCAGCTGGTGGTTTTGAACTGCGGATGTTGAGGCTAGCAGCCCAGTGAGTTACCCCTACTCCATCCAGGACCTCTTAAAGGGGAGAGGGTGCGTGCAGCAGTGCTGAGTTTAAACTGCAAGTCATAAACTTTCCCTGCATTGGGGATCAGGGTGGGGGGGGGCAGGTTTGATAGATCAATATTCAGAAGGAAGATCCTGTGTATGGAAAGATCACTGAACGAGGGGCCCAGTTGTCCCCAAGAATGCCAAATGACCAAGGACATCGCCATGTCATCAGAAATCCCATTTCTTATCGGAGTTCCGGCCCCAGTTTCCCAGGGCCAGGCGGGGGTTGTCGGGGAGGCTGCTAGTCTTTTCTCTGACCACACAGTCAAATTCAGCCCTGGGTCTGCCTTCTCTCCCTTCCTATGTTTTTATTGCTTCGAGTCCCAGCGAGAGGGAGGCATGTCAGTGATGGGGCTGGAGACACCAGCTGCCGCCTTGCCGTCCCGGGTCTCTCGGGGTGCAGCTGCGCTCTGAGCAAAGGGCTTTCCACGGCTGTGACCGTATGGGAGCAGACTGCCAGGACTTACCTGCAAGGTGCTTCTGCACGAACACACCCAGCGAGCACGTTCACCGAGTGAACCAGCTAGGGACTCGGAAACAAACAAATGAACATGCTCCAAACCAGCTGCCGTTGACCCGCTCCACGTGTGTGAGCGAGAGTAGCACTGAGCCCCACATCACTGAGTTTTTAAGAAGCTGCCCGGTCTTTCTTCCGAGCTGCCTCTGGAAGAACCCCAACCCACCGCTGGGCTTCTGGTTAGCTGAGCGAGTTAACTGTTGGTTCCTGCCCGGCGATTGTTCTGGGCTAGAAATCGGGCTCTTGCTAAATCAGAGATGGGGGCGTGGGTCCTGCTAGTGGCATTTAAAGCAACCGCCCCTCCCCAGTTTCTGATGGTCTGGAGTATTTGATTTCAACTTTCCTTACCTGACACTTCGCTGGGGCTCCCGCCCTCTTCCCCCACTCCCTTGGATAAAATAATCAGGGGACAGGATTAAACCCCAAATCTGGATCAGCAAGGCTTAAAGCAGGCTAAGCCCTAGGGAGTTAATCCCCACAAAATGCCACGGCCCCAGAGCCTAGAGGACGAGACTCCGTGACCCTAAGCCCAGCCGGCCTGCCAGCTCCCTGCTTCTGCACGCCGTCCAGCTCCATGGAGGTTTTCCTTGTTCCCTGGTGGAATTGTTTGAATTGTACGCCCTCCCTGCCCCGACACCCCGCGCCTCATCCTCAAATAAGCGTGGGAATACGTAACCCCCATGCCCTGGTGGCACCGTGGGTTAAGCATTGGGCTGCCCATTGCAAGGTGGGCAGTTCAAACCCACCAGCTGCTCCACAGGGGAAACGCGAGGCCTCTCTGCTCCCGTCAAGTTCACACTCCCCGGAACCCGCGGGCACAGCCCTGCTCTGCCCTGTAGGCTCAATGTGAATTGGAATCCACTCGATGGCAGTGGGTTTGGAGCTGTGAGGAGGTTGACAGGTTGGCCGGCTAACTCTGAGGTCAGCGGTTTTGAAACCAACTGCCGCTCGGTGGGTGAAAGAGGAGGCTGTCTGCTCCCGTCAAGATTCTCAGCCTCGGAACATGTCTTGAAAGTAAACGTGTTATTTTTCTGGGGATGTGCACTAAACCATAGGAGGCACTGAGCTGATGTGGGGGGGAGGGGGAGGGACAACCCAGCAAGGGAGGGGGAGACTTCAAGGCTGTCCCCCCCCAGCGCCACTGTATTGTAGGGGCGGAAACTGTTGGATGGTCTGCTGTGTCTCCTCCACAGCTCAGAGCCCTGGTGGCATAGCGCTTACACAGTGGGCTGCTAATCACAAGACCCGAAGTTCTAAACCACCAGCCACTCCTTGGGAGAAAGACAGGGCTTTCTTCTCCTGTAAAGAGTTACAGGCTTAGAAACGCACCGGGGCAGTTCTACCTTGATCGATACTATAGATTCTATAGGGGCCCTTTCTCCTTTGGAGCGAAGGGGACATTTGAACAGGCCTTGTGTTTCGCTGCGGAACGCTTTAACCCCTGCGCCACCAGGGATCCCGTTAGAGCGGGCATGGGTGGCTTAGTTAGAGAGAGTGGTCAGAGGAGGACGCTCTTGGAGAGAGAGGGGAGGGTCCAGGCTGGGCTCAGTACCAGTGTGTGTGTGTGTGTGTGTGTGGTGGGTGGGCAGTGGACACTCCACACTGGAGGGCGAGGTGAGAGATGGGATCGAGGCCAAGAAAGCCCCCATGCGACCAGAAGGTGTGCGTGGATCACTGGCAGGTCTGGATGCAACTGTTTCCAAGCACTCCGCTGCCCACCGAGAGGTGGACCATTGGACCCCGCCACAGGAACAAGATGCGGCTGTGATTTTTCCATGAGCGGCCAAGCGCTTAACCATCACGCTTCACCAGGGTTCCTTCGCCTCCTACCAGTAAGCCGCCAAGGCAGTCCGCAGAGTTGATATGGGGGGGGACTCCTTTAATGGGGGTAGGGGGAGTGGCACCACCTTTAACCAAGGGAGTAAACACGATGGTGGACTGAGGGTGGCACTAGGGGCCGGTGCCTAAGGGATGAGAAAGACGAAGCAAAGCGGGTGCCAGCCTCTTCATCCCGGGACGTCTTTCCTCCCCTTGAAAAGAAAACCAGAGCCGGCCTTCAGGGGACGGGCATGCATGGACTTCCAAGGGCGTGAGGGTGGAAAGGCGACTGTCCGGTCTTTGAGACTCAACTAACTGGAAGTCAGGTGAAGCCAACTGGCCGGAGTGTCCTTGACCTGCGATCCCTCCCCGGCCTGGCCCTTATTGCTCTTAGACCCTGGCTCCAAGCGCCCCTTCCTGTTACAGAGTAGAACTGCCCCCGGGGGGCTGTCTTGGCTGCCCTCTTCACAGAAGCAGATGGTTTTTCTGGGGCCACTGGGGGGGCTGCCTGACCTCACCTCCACTTCAGCAATACACCCACGTGCGGTCCTCGTCATAGTTGTACGAGGTCGCGCACCACAGAAGGCCGCTGCTTGATCCTCTGGTGGTGCAGTTGAAGTAATTCTTGTTTTTATAGTTGAATGGGAAGTGACAGGGGGGACCAGGGACCAAGGAGGTAATTCCTGGGGAGAAAAAGAGGAGAAGACGCGATGACTCCGGGGACTTCCACACCTAGCCCTACAACGCCTGAATTTTTAATTTCAGGGAAAAAACATTTTTTTGTTTTTATTCTTTACTTTCATCGTTATCAATATACCTATTAATATCTACATTGAATTAAATGTTACGAAAACGTCATGCTCGGCATTATAGGGCTAGGGACTTACGCATTGGCACCCACCCTCGATTTACAACGGAGCCTGTGTGGTTGGAGCTGGCCTTCCAAACCAGGTCAGAAGGGTTAGATAGTGGTGGTAAACTTGGACCCCGTCCCATGGCCTAGCAACAGATCTGTTGCCTAGTCACTGTGTATGTTGCCTAGCAACCAAAAATCTGCTGCCTGTGAGATTTTGATCCCAGTGGAAAACAAACAACTGTGTCCACCAACCAAGCGGAGTGTGTTACTCCCATCAAGACGGAAGCCGGCACCAAGCCAACCTCACAGCCATCGAGTGGATGCTGACTCATAGCGATCCTCTAGGACAGGATAGAACTGCCCCTGTGGGTTTCTGAGATTGTAACTCTTTACTGGAGTGGGAAGTCCTGTCTGTCTTTCTCCCTCAGAGAGAGTGGTGGTTTTGAACAGTTGGCCTTGAGGGTCTCCGCCCAATGCGTAAGCACTACACCACCTGGGCTCCTTTGGAAACCCAATGGACGGATTCTATGCTGTCCTCCAGGGTCCAGATGAATCGGGATCACCTTGGTTTTGGTTTTTGCTGGTTTGTTTTGGAATCTATTACACAAGCTGACTACCACAACTTTGTCCTGCTGAGCAAGCCCCTGGTGGGTTCAAACCACGGACCTTTTGGTTAGCAGCCAAGCACTTGGCTATTACCCCCACCAAGGGCTCCTTGTGCCTCCAGGAGAGAAGAAATGCAGACACAGAGGGGGGTGTGTGTGTGTGTGATGTGACAGTGGTGGCAGAATCAGAAGGATACAGCTACAAGCCCAGGGTGGCTGGCCATCCCTAGAAGCTGCCAGAGAGGCATATGTCAGAGTCACCCACTGAGTCTTCAGAAGGAGTGGACAGGCCTGGCACCCTGATGAGAACCTCTCACTTCCCCCAAACTGGGAGACCATCCGGGTCTGAGCCCTGGCACCCTCCTATGCTGAGAAAATGCAGGCAGACCCTGCCCGTGCCCACTGTGCCCGAGCCCCCTCCTCGGTTACTAGTGTCGGCACAAATGCTCCATTGTTCGTCCTCGTCCATGTTCTCTGTGGTCGGGCACCAGAGGCGGCTGTCGTCGTCCACACACTTGGTGAGGATGTCATTTTGGAAGATGGAGGGGAAGATGCAGGGCTTGCTGAAGGAATTCCCCCCGTATTCTGAAAAGGAGCACGGGGAAGTGGCACATCAGGGAGCGAAGGGGAGGAAGGTCGGCGTCCACTCTTCTGCTGGTCACAGGCAGCCTAGCTGTCGGGCTGGACCCCATGAAAGGTAGTACATGCCCCTCCCACCCCCCACCCCCCCACCCCCGCTGTGGTCGAATCCTCCTCCCAAGAAACCCACGTACAAGGTGCCAGCGTCAAGGAAGACGTGGCCTGTCACCGCTGCATCCACACTGTGACCGTTCGTTCTGACCCTCCAGTTCTCCGTGACTGGGAGGTCTTTACTGCCCAGGACGTCCCAGGGAGTCTTCCTATGTGACAACCGGAGTCTCTTGCTACGCGTTTCTTTTGAAAATCAGGTTTCTTGAGATCTAACTCACACACTGTTAGGTAGCTAGCTTAGGGACAGGGCGGTTGTCCCTCCCATGCTGGCAAAGGCCCCCATAGAGGAGGTTGGAAAGAAATCAGGCACCTCATCCAACACCTATGGGAGAAACCCAGAATGGAGCATTCGCAGACTAGGACCCCCTAGGCCCAGGTAAAACCAATACCTTGGACACACAACCTACCTTAGGCACATCACAGGTGGGCCTAACTCAGCCAATGAGGTCAACCAATACCTTCGACCATGCCACCGCTAGCCAGTGTATGTGTGGCGTGGGGTGGGTGGGTGAGAGATACCATAAGGGCAGGAGCACGCTCCGGCATGCTCTCTTGACTCCTGGCTCATTTGCTCCCTTGACCTCTTGGTCTCCCAGGATTCCCCAGTTCTCCACGTGTGGGTGTTCTTTTCCACATGATTCTTCATGCCCAGTTGTGAACCCCAGCGTGGCTTCTGCGTGGCTGGGCACTCTTTCCAGAAACAGCGCGTACCCCTTTGAGACTGTAAACCCTTTCCTTCATAAAAACTCACTGGGATGACAAACCGTGCTTCGGGTGTGAATTCTTCCAGCGCGCGGGAAGCCAAGAGCCGAGGTCCAACCCATTCCAGAAACCTAACAACACCATGCGGTCCATCGCCCCCCTCCCCCCATTTAAAGTGTCCAGTGGAGCGGTTTGGGGGCATAGTCACAGATCGGTGTGACCAACTTTGAAACGTTTTATCATTTCATCAAGAAATCCCTGTAACTATGACTTCCTGGTTTACCCATCTTCCACCTATTTTCGGATTCAATGCTGTGAGGTGCCCTCCAGGTGAGTTCAACTCAAGGTGACCCCAAGTGATGGAGCACGTGCCCACAGGGTTTCCCTGGCTGTGATGTTGATAGCAGCAGACTACCACCCAGAGAGGCCGGTAGCTCCTACCCACAGCTCGCAGTGAGCAGAGGAGAGTTGAATGGTGGGGAACTAAGAATCTGGACAGAAATAGAAGTGGCCTGATCTCTACATGCGTAACCCTGGGGTTTGGAAAACCGGCTCAAGTGAGAGAAGACTTTTGCCGTTGCAGGTGAAGAGATAAAGCCGAATCTACGTTCTCCAGATGGAAAGAGTTCTCCCCACAACAGCCCTCCCGTAAGATGCTAACGTAAAACTGCCCTGTACAGGCACCCTTAGCTACTGGCTGTAAATGCCTATCTCAAAAAGCAGACAAGGTTCCTTTTGTTCAGGTCACACCAGGAGTCAGCAGCTCCTTTGTACTTTAGCTGTGGGTACTTATGGGAAAGTGCCCACTCTTCTCCTGTAAGTGGAGCCATAGCCAGATGTATATAATTCTCCAGGAAACAGATTCTTTACATGTAACCTCTATAACAGTGGTTCTCGACCTTCCTCATGCTGAGACCCTTTCAGACAGTTCCTCATGCGGTGGTGACCCCCCCACCCCCAACTATAAAACTATTTTTGTTGCTATTTCATCACTGTCATGTTGCTACTGTGATGAATCGGGTGACCCCTGTGAAAGGGTCGTTTGACCCCCAAAGGGGTCTCGACCCACAGGTTGAGAACCATTGCTCTATAAAATGATAAATTCCTTCCCACAGACACCTAGCTTCTCACCTAGACTGTTAAGAGTATGTTTGTCTCTGTCAGCATCCCCTGTGTAGTGTTGACTGCTCGGGTAGAGCGATTGGCACTATTGCTCACATGCTTTCCTGACACTTCCTTCGAGAGGTTCTCCCCAAAGAAGTCGGGATTTCCCAGGCTCCCACTTCGCCCAATCTGTTGTCCATGTGCCTGATGGGGACTTGCATGCCTCTACTGTATATATACTCTCTGTTAAATTCTCTCTCTCTTGACTCTGACCTAGGGATGGGGAGCCCCTGTTTGCCCTATCTTTTCTGTTGCCTATAGTTGCCTTCATCACACAAGCCGTTCCTAAGGACCCGTTTGACGGTGGGGTTGGATCCCGTACTTACCCACCAGAGCTCCTTCCTTCAGCTCGAACCAATCACTCATCTACCTTCTGTCTAGAGATGTCCCTCCTCTGGGTTTTTGGATGAATGGAAAGTTTGATTCTTTCCTAACTGGGTTCTTATGGGCGGTCAAATGCTTGCAAGGGTCACCCATGCCGTAGGAGTCTACGAGTTTCCAAGATGCAGGTCCTACTGATAGGTTCTCAGGATTGGCACTAGGGACTCAAGGGTGTTCTCAGAGAAAGCACTTGGCACCTCAAAGTTCTTCCCCGAGTTGCTTGGCCCTCTACCTCGTTCACTTTCTCTCCAGGAGCCTCATGACTGCCCACCTCCTCCCCTGCTCTGCCCCCGCCCTCCCTGTCTCCAGCAAAGCCCCATGCCTCACCATGTTCTTCGCAGTATTTCCACTGATGTTTCTCATCGAAACTGGATGTCACCGAACACCACAGCTTTCCCAGCCAGCTGCCTTCTGCGATGCATCTAGTATAGGTCTTTCCATGATAGATGAAAGGGAAAATACACCGTGGGTAATCTGTAGGGAGAGGGGCATCATGGGTAATCTGTGGGGAAAGGTGCATTATGGGGAAAGACATGCACAAGGGACTCTATTTTCTCTGGCCATTCCATCAATCATCAAAGTACAGGACAAACATCCAGTGTGGAAGAATTAGATGTATTCATGCTCTCAAACATCTGGTGAGCTCTACTCTGTGTACAAGGAGCCCTGGTGGCACCGTCGTTATACACTTGGCTGTTAACCAACAGGCCCGTGGTTTGAATCCACCCAATGGCTGTAATCTTTAGAGACACAGATTTCCCCAGCTTTCTCCTGCAGAGCAGCCGGCTGGTGGGTTTCAACCACTGGCATTTTGGTGAACAGTTGAGTGCTTTAGCTGCCGCTCTACCAAAGCCCCATATCTGTCTACATGTTTATATTTATAGAGGCTCATAGGCATGCCCAACCTGGGCAATGATTAAGGAAGACCGCAGAAGAATAGATGCATTTGAATTAAGTGGTTGGCCAAGGATACTCAACGTGCCCTGACTGACCAAAGAACAAACAGGTCGATCTTGGAGGAGGTACAGCCAGAATACTCCTTAGGAGTGAGGATGGCGAGACTCTGTATCACATACCGTATATACTCGTATCTAAGCCGAGTTTTTCAGCACATTTTTATGCAGTTTTTGTGGTAAAATTAGGTACCGTGGCTGATATTCGGGTCAGCTTATACTCGAGTATATACGGTACTTTAGATGTTACCGGAAGAGACCAATCCTTGGGAAAGGACACCATGCTTGATAAAGCAGAGGGTCCGTGAAAACGAGGGAGACTGTGGATGAGACAGATTGCTACACAAGGCTGCAACAATGGGCTGAAGCATCATAACAATTGTGAGGATGTCAAAGGACCAGACAGCGTTTCCTTCTGTTGTCTGTTCAGTCACTATGAGTTGGGGTTAACTTGGTGGTACTTAACAGCAACACAGACTTACATACTTATATATCTATCATACCGATACCTATCTCACTGGCACTATCAAAAACAGCAATACCAGGGGAAGGTATATTCTGAATATTTAAAATCTGGAACGTTATGGCTTTAAAGAGTCCTGATGGTGGGGTGGTTTAAGGATCGGGCTACCCACTGCAAGGTTAGTGGTTCAAACCCGCACATTGCTCCGCAGAAGAGAGATGAGGTTGTCTGCTCCCATGAAGATTTACAGTCTTGGAAACGATCAAGATTCAGTCTTGGAAACCCTATGCTCCCAATCAAAATCACTGCCATCGAATCACTGCTGACTCATAGCGACCCCCTGTGCGTTTCCAAACCTGTAACTGTTTATCGGAGTTGAAAGCCCAGGTGGTTTCGAAACTCCAGATCACAGTTCAAATCTGTCCTTTATGATTGCTCACAACTGGGATCAACCCGATGACGATGGGTTTGAAACTTGGTGATGGAGTTCATTGAGTCCTCTAAAATTATGCTTTGACCATCTCACCCCTCCTCGTATGGAGAAGAGAAGACACTGAAAAGAGACAAGGACTGTCCCTGAGAGCTGAAGACAGAAAAAGCCTTCCCCTGGAGCCAGCAGCCTGAGTCCACACTTCTAGAGCCAGAATAAAGGACTCTGTGTTAAAGTCCACTTGTGGCATTCCCGTTACAACAGCGCTGAGGATTCTAACCACTGGGTGTTAGTTAGCAGGAACAATGGAAGTGTCCGCCAACAGGGGGCGTATGACAAGTGTTTTGTGGCTGTGCACCCACGTAACATTCACGGTTGGCCCAAATGTCTTGGAGTTTGAAAACAGTAAACAAAATTTCTCCAATATCAGGCATTTTTTTAAAAATCAGGCTTGGTTTCCTTTTTCACTTCTTTTTAGAAAATGAAGAAAAAGCCGACAAGGAGAGGCTTCTTTCGAAACTCGAATACTCACTTTCTGAAAACCAAAGTCAAACCAGCCTATTGCAAACAGTCTGTTCTGACTCACAGTCTCTGCAGGGAAGAGTGCGAACTATCCCGTATGGTTTCCCACACTGTAACCTTTACAAAGAGGAGTGGGTTGGGCTCCCTGGGCTCCCTGTGAGCAGCCCGATGCTTAACCCGCTCCACCAACAGGGCTTCCTCCCTTCCTGAAAGTACCGTGCTCAACACTAGCATGATCAGCATCCACCCACTGCCATCAAGACGATTCTGACTCATATGGAACTTCAAGGGTTTCTGAGGCTGTAAATCTTGATGGAAGGAGACAGCCTCATCTTTCTCCTTCAGAGTGCCCAGTGGGTTTGAACCACCAACCTTCTAGCTTGCAGTCCAATGCTCACCTGACAGCACTGCTGTTCATATTCATGATTCACATTCAGGGTTCAGCCTCCCGAGACTTCAGTGCCTGAACCCATGGGATCATTGACCTAAAAAGTTCCTCTTGTATACCTAACCTCTCTTGTACCCACTGTTTGTTTTTTGTTTTTGTTTTGTTTTGT